GTAATGAAACGCAAATGCCGCAAAATATTTTTTTTCACTTTATTTTACACAATGATTAAAATACTACGCATTAAATCTTAAAAATCAAAAAAGAATTTGAAAATGAAAATATAGTTACCTTTTTTTTGTTGTTTAAACATGGTTCTCCGATTTGTCTGTATTAGCGCAGGAAGCTAAAAGAAATTAGTTGGAAAGTCAAATTGACACAAAATTTCCTCAGTTTTCTTCGAAAAGGATCTTTTTCTCAGGGTCATTCTGTCCCATTCTTTTCATTCGTCCTTAAGCCTGTCATAAATCTTGATCCTGCTTTTCCTGATCCTACTTTTGTCCAATGTGCCGAAATTCTTCTTTAACGCGCCTCTCCCCCTTCCCCCAGAGGACCAACGTTGATAACTCATTGATACTCCTTAAAAAAATAATTAACTATAGACTTGGAGGGTGACGGAAGACTTCTGGCGCTTATGGTCCTATCTTTTCTCCGAACGGGTAGCAGTTATCAAGCCCTTGCTTACCATGAATGCACATTCAGTCTCTTGGTGGTTAGAGAAATAAAAGAGAACCGGTATAAATAAAATATAATATTCCCTTTCACTGCACCATCTCTGAAAAAAATTCTTACTAAGAGCCAAGCCTTCCTGTAGCTTCTTAGTACGACGTTTATTATAGTCAATCAATCAATAGACGAAGGGGTTATTGTCATTTACAGGCAAATAGCATTCTGAATGAATTTTTTCCATCCTAAGTGTTATCAGTATTTCACTTCAAACGATCTTTCTTTCGATCCGCTTTGAATGAGAAGTTTTTCCTACATTCAAAGATCACACCACTCCTTGTCTTCTAATTATTTTGAGTAATTTTACCAGCTTTTAAACTTTTCTTATTGCGTTTCCTGAGATTCAGAATTCACACGGAAAACTTATATCGTTTTAAGCCAGTGACATACTATTTTATAAACGTAAAATAGCTGGTAAAATGTTATCAGTGGTAAAAGACCATTGATAATATTTTACGACTTTTTGCTTGCACATGTAAGGAGCCCCTGTAGCTAGGAGCTTTTATTTTCGATGACGTAATATCGCCAGATGATATGTGTAAATTATATCAATGTAATGTGTATTTTTTTATGTCAGAAAGCATTTTGCTTCAAGTCAGTAAACTAATTTTTTTTAATCTTCTATTTTCCATATGCTCGTGCACCCCTCGCAGGGTTATTACACCCCCCCCTCGAGGGGGAAATTCGCCCCACAGTTTGAGAAACGCTGTTCTACGGTTTTTTTCGAAAAATTACTTTTATCTATTTCACTATTTGATTCATTCATCAATTTAGAGAAATTTCAAGCTCACTTAAATATTTCGCTATTCCTGTCATGCTGACTGAAATAAAACTGATGCTAAATTTACAAAATACTTCAATCCAGTGCCGTATTACTCGTTAGGAGGAGTAGGCAATTGCCTATGGGCCCCATGCTTTTTAGGGACCCACAAAAGTGCGTTCTGTTTTCTGTTAGAGTGCCATAAACAGGCTAAGGGGCCCCGAGAACTCGACTGTCAAGGGGCCTCCATGTCGTTTAATCCGACACTGCTTCGATCTCTTTCCCCACACATTCTCAAAATATAAACACAAATATACAGATAACAATAAATCACGAACCTTCAAATACTAAATTATTTCGAAAACACTAAACATTGGTAGTTGTTTATAGTCTGAGATCTGGGATCATTATTTTAATATAAGAATTCTTGGATCAACTGTTTAAAAACTTGGAACCGAAAACATATATTAAAGACGAAAGTTCAGGAAAACATTTAAAAAAAAAAAAACGGATTTCAACCGCAATTACATGCAATATATGAGGGCAACACTAATTGTTATACGATTCAAATCGTGGGTAATCATTGGGTTTGCAATATCAGTACAAGATTTTCTTTATTGCACGTTGAACTTATAACTGAAGTCTATCAGCTTGGGGCCCCTGGCGGCCGCCATGTCCGCCAGCCGCTTAATCCGCCTTTGGCTGTACAAGATCATGACAAAATATAAATACTACTCAATTGAAATAACAATATACAATCATATTATGTATGGATAGTATTTGTATTTACTTAAATTTCAATGTACTTGAATTTTTAACATTATTTTAATTGTTTACATCATTGTCATCATTAATTTCAACAATACTTAGACTTTTTGTACTTTCAATTATTTCATTTTGTTCTAAAAAGATACTGTAGGCTTATGGTAACTAAAGTAAGAAAGGAAAATGTTTGATTCAAATTTATCTAAGTATCGCGTTAAAACCGCATCGATCGTCGTTTTATGTTTGGTAGTACTGAGTTTTCGATCATTGGACATATTTAAATTAAGTGTTTCATTTAGAAATTCAATTAGTGGTAGATTTTTATCATCTGCAAAGTTAATACTGAAGTCTCCACTTAAAATCGTCAATACGTTATCATATATATATTTTCCGCCAAATCTTTTTTCGAGTATTTCAGAACCTTTTGAAAAATCACCAAATTTTCGAACAAAAATTGCTGTATCTGTCTCATGGATTTTCCAGGCGAAATATAAACGACAACCATTAATATGTATTGCCCATTCTCGGAATCGCAACGAGCAATGCACAGTATATACACATTGAACTTTTTACTAAATCCATTCAATTTCACGTATAAGATATACACAGCGCTATACATTAGCTGTATAGATACAGATATACTGCTATAAGCATGTCGGTGACGCGAACGCACGAGATTTCACCCATCCAAAAAGTGTGTAAGGCAAACAGCACACTGCGCATGCGCCAGTCAGAGCATGTCGGTGACGCGAACCCATAAGATTTTCCCCTACCAAAAAGTGCCCAACGCCGCTAAAGAAGTTTTCACTTCAAAAACAGTTCATTGTTTAATACTTCAACTTATCTGGATATTTCTTCAGATTGCTGTGTTAAGTGTGAAAATTTCCATCACTAATTTTGACATACTCACAGTATCTTCTTTTCATTTTCTTAACTTTATGCTCCGTGTAAAGCAAAACACAAGCAATTGTTATTCTGTTCTATGGCATTTTCTACGGAATGTACCCGAATTAAATTTCAACTAAAATTATCGATCCTTTCTGCTTAACTGTTTCGTCGCAACGCCCACGCAACGCGACTAAACAGTTGTGTAGAGTTATTGATCGTAAGTGTTAAGCCTCAGAATAGTGTCGGTTTATCCATTGGGCGCTTGAGGGGTGGTAGAGGCTCCCAGGGGCCCAAGGCTCAGAACGACCCAAATAAGCTGATCATTACCAGATTTTCTGGTTGTAAATTTCGATCTCTCAGTGCCAAGGGAGCCTGCAGATCTTCTGCTACCAGGGCCCAAAATGAGATTAAATCGGCACTCCCTTAGAAAACATATACAGTAAAATACGTTTAACGCGAAAATGCTTAAGACGAAATATCGGTTAACACGAAATAATACAGAGGTTCCAACAAACGACTATGTATTTTCCTGCACTTTTTTCTCTTAGAACGAAACGAAATTAGCTTAGCAGGAAAAAATGGAGAAAGGGGATATTGAATTTAACCCGATAATTGTGTAATGTTTGAGAAAGTTTCTGTTTGCACAGTCCAACCGTATCATCGGAAGAATTCGCTGCAGTAGATAATAATGAGAGAACAGCTCCAATTATGGCAGACAAAGACGTTTTGGAGTTTGTTCAAAGCTCAAAAAATATCATTGATGATTGACTCGAAGTACCAGATTTCGACGACGAAAATGAAATGAATAAGCTCCCCTGTTAATACGCCATCCGAAATCAGGAACATCATGAAAAGTATCTGCAGTTATTTAGACGCACATTCTAAAGATAAAATGAATAACAAAATGGACAACATCGAACAATTTGTTCACAATTTGTTGCTAAAAAAGACAATACAAAGAAAATATTACATTATTTTCCAAAAACAATAGCACAGTAATACATCACAATATTGAAAAATTGAGAATTTGTTCATTTTCTATTTGTACAGAGCGGGCCCCGTTTATGCAATTCTTGACAATTGTTACCAATTTTTTCCCATTTTAGTAATAATAATTTATTTTATTTTCTTAATTTTAGCTCTTTTTTCTCAAAATGTACTAAATAAATCTAAAAATCACAAAAAAAATCTCCATTTTTTAAAAAAAGTCGCAAGTATCGGATACCTTAAAACAATTTTCAACAAGCAGGGAACATAACTTTTTATAAATATAAATTTTAAGATAAAAATAAAGTAATGCTCATTATGTATAAGCTATTTAGATGAAAACCTAAAGTTATCTATTTCTGAGTTTAATAAACTGTAAAATATATTTAAATTATTGCTAAATGTATCATGAATTACTTTTTGAGATACTTCCGATCTTTACGATATGCTAATATAACATTGTTTATCAGTGAACTCTCTCTTTTAAGAGTATATTTAGTTATGCAAATTTTGTCTGTTTTAGCATACTTTTCAAAGAAAAATCATCTTATTGATTAAACCAGTAAATAAAATTAATACAATAAAATGAATATAAATTTATTTTTTCCGGTACAATACTTTTTTAAACACAAGAAAAAACATTTCGTCATAAATTAATTTATTGTGTAAAACCCCTTTAAGTACTGTTTAGAAATACTTTTTTTTTATTTGAGCAATGAATAATATATAATATTGAGCCAAATACTATGTTTTTTATAATTTTTTTTTTCTTTTTAAAATTTTACATTTCATACCCTCTAAAGAAAAAGCTTTACCTAAAACTCACGTGCACTTTCTACAGGTCCTCAATTTCAGTTCGTGTGTGTTTTCCCTATCTTCCTTCAAAACAATGCAAAAGTTTCGAAGATGAAAAATTACCAAATTTGGAATTAGTACTTTGTAAATAGTACACAATTTACCATGAAAATTATTTTAGGTATCACTCTCATCGAATGACAGAGACTCAAAATTAAATAAAATTGTATAAATTTTTTAAAAAAAATGTTTGGTAGATGGTGGGACTCAAACCCACACTGGTATAAGCCCCCAGATGGTTAGGTACATCGTCTGGTGCCTTGACCACTAGGACACAACTACCAATTAAGCCTAGAGGGGGAAAAATTAAGAATTAAAATAAAAATTCCTTGGCATCTATTGACTTCTATCTCGGAGCAAATTATTTATTAAAAAATATGTATATGTTACCGACAAAGTGTGTATGATTCAGTTATTTCTTAGAATAACTAGGTATTTCATGAAATAGGCTAGACAAGTCAGTTAAAGTATATAATAGATCAAAAATTTCATACTTTACCGAGATATTCTAGGAAATAACTAATGATATATCGTTCACACACACACAAGTAAAAAATAAAAAAATTTAAAAGGTATTTTAAAATTAATTCATAAATAGCTGAAATATCTCGAAAAAATACATTTTATACCTATTGCGAATGATAAATTGATAAATAATAAGAAAAAACAGACACACAGAGATGATATAATTTATTATTGCTCATATTACTAATATTAGTTAACCAGAAAGGAAAAAAAATTAATAAGTTGCAGAAATTGATATATTTAAATATTATCAAAAATATACATGCTAGGAAGAAAAACTGTTGCTTCATAAAAACATTATGTAAACTTTTTCAAATAAAATTGCGAGAGAATATTAATTTAAATTTTAAATGAAATACATTTATTTTACTTTTGTTTATTTATTAGAGCAAGGATTGCAGTGATGACATTTCGAATTGGAGTTCAAAATTGACTCAATGCAACTAGAACCTGTTCAAGGAACTTTCGAATGCGTATTTTTGTACTTTAACGATCAAGTATCGTTATTCTATAGAATATCTGGTTAAATAGTAGAATTCAAAAATTTTTATGTACTTTAACTGACTCGTCTAGTTATTTTTATGAAATACTTAGTTATATTTTATGAAATAGCAAATTTTCACACTTTAACGGTAACATATACTGAATTAAACAAAGAGAAGGAAAAATCCAAAAATGGCTTCTACCCGCAAACTGTACTGATAAATTAACAAAGCTCGGAAAACTATTGCTGTGATCTAAAATACCATCTATGAACTAAACTCAGAGGCGTAGCAGCCAATGAGGGCCAAGGCCTACTGCGCCCATCTCAGCATACGTGACCATTGGGCGCTGAGGTGCACGAGTAGATGTACCGATCAGGTGATCAGTCTGAAGCGAAACCCCAAGTGTTTAGTCACCAAGCAAGCTAGGTACCCATTTATCGACCCATTGATGGGATGAAAGGCTGAATCAACCTTGCCCAGCCCGAGCATAGAGCCCCGAACCTATGATGTGGAAGCGCGACACGTTACCATTCGGCCTCCAAATAAATGCCATCTATACAGTTGTTTAATATCGAGATTGACATCCACAGGGTGTTTCAAAGAAAATTATTGTTTTCATCTCCAGTATGACATACGCGAGCAAAGAGTTAAAACGAAGTTAATATTTGCCAAAAATAACTAAAATATCTAGCAGCCAGTTGTAATTATTACGGTTTTTTTTTTTGCGATTTTATTTTT